ATCACTTTTAGTGCGCTTAAGTGTTATGTTTTTTAAGCATTTTCCTTTCTCTGATAGGCAATTATATTCAGTATGAGTTCTTTGTTTGCCAGTTATTTGATTGTCATTTCTGTTTTTTCTTTTAGATCTGATGATGAATACGAGAAGTATTCGAAACGTTATGCATTTTAAAGTAAAGAATCTGAAACAAGATGTTCAGTATATCCCTGGTTTTCCTATTCATCTTGAAATATATATATATATGTCGTACCTAGTAGCCAGAAGGCACTTCTCGGCCTACTATGCAAGGCCCGATTTGCCTAAAAAGCCAAGTTTTCCTGAATTAATATATTTTCTCTAATTTTTTTCTTATGAAATGATAAACCTAAACATTTCATTATGTATGAGGTCAATTTTTTTTAATTGGAGTTAAAATTAACGTAGATATATGACAGAACCTAACCAACCCTACCTAACCTAACCTAACCTATCTTTATAGGTTAGGTTAGGTTAGGTAGCCGAAAAAGTTAGGTTTGGTTAGGTTAGGTAGTCGAAAAACAATTAATTCATGAAAACTTGGCTTATTAGGCAAATCGGGCCTTGCATAGTAGGCTGAGAAGTGTGTTCTGGCTACTAGGTACGGCATATATATATATATATATATATATATATATATATATATATATCCTAGTAGCCAGAACGCACTTTTAAGCCTACTATGCAAGGCCCGATTTGCCTAATAAGCCAAGTTTTCATGAATTAATGTTTTTTCGACTACCTAACCTACCTAACCTAACCTAACCTACCTTTTTCGGCTACCTAACCCAACCTAACCTATAAAGATAGGTTAGGTTAGGTTAGGTAGGGTTGGTTAGGTTTGGTCATATATCTACGTTAATTTTAACTACAATAAAACAAAATTGACCTCATACATAATGAAATGGGTAGCTTTATCATTTCATAAGAAAAAAATTAGAGAAAATATATTAATTCAGGAAAACTTGGCTTATTAGGCAAATCGGGCCTTGCATAGTAGGCTGAGAAGTGCGTTCTGGCTACTAGGTACGACATATATATATATATATATATATATATATATATATATATATATATATATATATATATATATATATATATATATATATATATATATTAATTTCATCAACACAAGACAGAACACGAAACAATGGGTATTGAATAGAAGTGTTTGTAGAAAGCCTATTGGTCCATATTTCTTGATGCTTCTATATTGGAGCGGAGTCTTGAGGTGGGTAGAATATATGTTACTTATGCATCGTTAAACGCCTAGAAAGAGATGTTGTTGTCTTGCCTATATACTGGGTTTTTTGGAGCTTACAGTCCCCAAGAGGGCATTTGAAGGCATAGACGACGTTAGTCTCTTTTAAAGCGTTCTGTTTTGTGTCTGGAGAGTTTCTCATGAGTAGGCTGGCAGTTTTTCTGGTTTTATAGTAAATCGTCAGTTGTATCCTCTGATTTTTGTCTGTAGGGATAACGAACATAGGAATGTGCCTTAATGCCAACAGCGACTGCCCAGACAGGTACAAGAGGAGTGTTGTTAACGCATATGTCGACCGTGCTCTCAGCCACAGCTCAGAATGGAAGCAAGTCGAAGAAGAACTCTGTAGGGTAAGGCAGGTCCTAGTCAAGAACGGCTTCTCCAATGGTTTCGTCGAAGACATCATAAGAAGGAAAGTGAAAAGCCATGCAACCTCTGAAGAGACAACTAACAAAACACCTATACCCCCTATTAGACTATTTTACAGGAACTTCTTTTCCACAGCTCATAAAACGGAGGAAAGGGTCCTGAAAGATATTGTTAATAGAAACGTTATCCCTACAGACAAAAATCAGAGGATACAACTGACGATTTACTATAAAACCAGAAAAACGGCCAGCCTACTCATGAGAAACTCTCCAGACACAAAACAGAACGCTTTAAAGGAGACTAACGTCGTCTATGCCTTCAAATGCCCTCTTGGCGACTGTAAGCTCCAAAAAACCCAGTATATAGGCAAGACAACAACATCTCTTTCTAGGCGTTTAACGATGCATAAGCAACAGGGCTCCATTAAGGAACATATAATCTCTTCCCACAACAAAACCATCGCCAGAGAAATCCTAGTAAACAACACAGAAATCATCGATAGATACAGCGATAGCAGGCGGCTTGACGTTTGCGAGGCACTACACATCAAGAAGTCAACACCAGCAATCAACAGCCAATTAATGCACAACTATATTCTACCCACCTCAAGACTCCGCTCCAATATAGAAGCATCAAGAAATATGGACCAATAGGCTTTCTACAAACACTTCTATTCAATACCCATTGTTTCGTGTTCTGTCTTGTGTTGATGAAATTAATACCCTATTAATGCCACCTCTTGTTCTGTCTTGTGTTGATTTAAATTAATACCCTATTAATGCCACCTCACCCCATCCACCTCACTCAAATGTATATATATATATATATATGTATATATATATATATATATATATATATATATATATATATATATATATATATATATATATATATATATATATATATATATATGTCGTACCTAATAGCCAGAACGCACTTCTCAGCCTACTATTCAAGGCCCGATTTGCCTAATAAGCCAAGTTTTCATGAATTAATGTTTTTTCGTCTACCTAACCTACCTAACCTAACCTAACCTAGCTTTTTTTGGCTACCTAACCTAACCTTACCTATAAATATAGGTTAGGTTAGGTTAGGTAGGGTTGGTTAGGTTCGGTCATATATCTACGTTAATTTTAACTGCAATAAAAAAAATTGACCTCATGCATAGAGAAAAGGGTTGCTTTATCATTTCATAAGAAAAAAATTATAGTAAATATATTAATTCAGGAAAACTTGGCTTATTAGGCAAATCTGGCCTTGAATAGTAGGCTGAAAAGTGAGTTCTGGCTACTAGGTACGACATATATATATATATATATATATACAATATATATATATATATATATATATATATATATATATATATATATATATATATATACCCTTCAATATATACCCTGTAATATATACCCCTGCAATATATACCCTGCAATATATACCCTGCAATATATACCCTGCAATATATACCCTGCAATATATACTCTGCAATATATACCCCTGCAATATATACCCCTGCAATATATACCCTTCAATATATACCATGCAATATTTACCCTGCAATATATACCCTGCAATATATACTCTTCAATATATTCCCTTCAATATATACCCTGTAATATATACCTCTGCAATATATACCCTGCAATATATACCCTTCAATATATACCCTGCAATATATACCCCTGCAATATATACACTGCAATATATACCCTTCAATATATACCCTGTAATATATACCTCTGCAATATATATACCCTGCAATATATTCCCTGCAATATATACTCTTCAATATATACCCTGCAATATATACCCCTGCAATATATACCCCTGCAATATAAACCCTTCAATATATACCCTGCAATATATATACCCTGCAATATATACCCTTCAATATATACCCTGCAATATATACCCTGCAATATATATACCCTGCAATATATACCCCTGCAATATATACCTTGCAATATATACCCTTCAATATATTCCCTGCAATATATACCCTGCAATATATACCCCTGCAATATATACCCTACAATATATATACCCTGCAATATATACCTTTCAATATGTACCCTGCAATATATTCCCTTCAATATATACCCTGCAATATATGCCCTGCAATATATACCCCTGCAACATATACCAAACAATATATATCCTGCAATATATACCGCTGTAATATATATATATATATACAGGGTATATATATATACCCTGCAATATATATCCTGTAATATATACCTTGCAATATATACCGCTGTAATATATTCTCCTGTAATATATACCCCTGCAATATATACCCTGCAATATATACTCTGCAGTCGGTGATGTGCTCTACACCCAGGGCGTTTGAGTAGGAAGAGCCCTATACCCACGTGACCCTAGATTAGGAAGAGCCCAATACCCCCGTGACCCTAGAGTAGGAAGAGCCCTATACCTCCTTGACCCTAGAGTAGGTAGAGCCCAGTACTTCAGTGACCCTAGAGTAGGTAGATCCCTATACCTCCTTGACCCTAGAGTAGGTAGGGCCCAGTACTTCAGTGACCCTAGAGTAGGTAGAACCCTGTACCTCCTTGACCCTAGAGTAGGTAGAGCCCAGTACTTCAGTGACCCTAGAGTAGGTAGAACCCTGTACTTCCTTGACCCTAGAGTAGGTAGAGCCCAGTACTTCAGTGACCCTAGAGTAGGTAGAACCCTATACCTCATTGACCCTAGAGTAGGTAGAGCCCAGTACGTCAGTGACCCTAAAGTAGGTAGAGACTTATACCCCCGTGACCCTAGAGTAGGTAGAGCCCTATACCCCCGTGACCCTAGAGTAGGTAGAGCCCTATACCCCCATGGTCCTAGACATTTATAAGTTATTATATACAATCAATTTAGAAGATTTTAAAGCCGAATTTGAGTAATGCGTGTGTGAAGGAAGGGGAGATGAGGAAGAGGAGACGTGCGAAGGAAGAGATGAGGAAGGGGAGATAAGGAAGAGGGGGTGAGGAAGAAGAGATGAGGACTGAGCTACAAACTTCTGGAGAATAACTCACATCTGAGACGAGTTACCTGCCGCCCTCATATGAATGTTTTAATGATTAGCACAATATAAAATAGTCAGGAAATACGTGCCTCACTTTAATAACATTTTTGTGGGTTTACTTAAACAGTTCAGTGTTCAGTGAATTAGGTTAATGTTCTAGCAGTTACACAACTACTGGGCTCTGAAACGCTTCACATTAACATTCAGATAACATTGACTACTTTCGGAAACCTTTGATCCCAAAATGTAACCTAAACTATACGGAGTTGTTTAGCAAGTGTGAGAGTAGCGGGTGGGTGGCGGGGGGAGGGGGGGGGTGCGGCTCACTTGGCGCACACGGTGAAGGTGAAGGCTTCGTCAGTGCCCAGGATGTAGGCGGGAGGCTTGAGCACCACCTCGTAGCGAGGCAGCACGAACTCCTCCACCTTGTAGGTCACACTCTGTTGTTGGCCCCGGGGCGTCTTCACGAACAGCGTGTACAATCCCTGACAAAAATGGTCGGATTAGTTACATCAAATATTTTGACACATTAAACATATTTTTTTATCATTATTCAAGAATCAGTAATAAATAATTCCTAGTGATGAGGAGCAAGTTATTAAGTATCATCAGTCAACAGCAAGATATTTTTGTTGTTTGTTAGTGACCAAAATGTGACATAATAACTCAAAACCACGATAAGTTGGTGCTTAATGTACCCGAGGTCCAAAGTCTCTAGTGGTCTTGATGGGGCCACGAAGTAGGCGGCTTGTCAAAGGTCCCTGAATTATTCCTATGTTTCTTTTCAACTGAATTAATGTCTCTGTATCTACTGCTTCGACAAGTAGGTGATATCATGGACTTATTTATCTAAGATGAAAATCATCTCTTGTTTTGTGTCCTCCAGAAAACACTGTTAGGTCTCATGATGATGCACTTTGTGAGTTATATTACACATTTTAATAATGTGGTCTGGATTATTATACTACAAATTGTTTAGTATTTTAAAAGTTCCACTGAGATCCGGCCAGTCATGTCCGGTGTGCAGTGTTGTTAGTCCTGCTCTGGCTCTCAACCGTTCCTGGAACGACTTGTTCAGTTGAACAACCACTTTCTTGTCCTTCAAATTAACGTTTCGTTTGACTATTCACAAGGTGTTGTTGACATTTTTACCGCAGCGTCTACTTGTTGAGCAACTGTCAGTGACTGGTGGATCATAAGGCCTAGGTGCTTCTCTTCATCAATCTCCACCATGTTCGTCTTGTTGATATGGTAGTTATAGTGTATATTGATATGCTCTGCAAGCACCGTTTTGGATTTGAAATATTAAATCGCCTTGCAAGAAATTAACCTTTTTTTGCTTCCCACTTTATCATTGATTCTAATGTCATCTGTAAATTTGATTATTTGGTTTCTAATATTCTCTTCTATATCGTGTTATATATTACAAGAAGTGTTGGTCCCAGGATGGAACCTTGCGGTGCTACACTTGGCATTCTTATCTATATTTATATCCACCTGAGACAACCTCTTGCTTTCCTTGTTGTATAATTTTTTTATCCAATCAAATGTTTTACCATTTATCCTACGACTAGAGAGTAGGATAAATGTCCTATCCTAAGACTAGAGAGTCTTTCATGTGGTTCATTATCTAAAGCTTTAGAGAAGTCCACGTACACTATATCTGCTGTTCTGCACTTGCGCCTCAGCTAACATCTTAGTTTACTCGTGTTTCTTCAGGAAAGACGCAAGTTACCCTTCAAGAGCCGCAGTTACTTCGTTCATCCTCCAAGTGAATGGTATGTTTATGTCCCCAGAAGTGTGGATGACAATATTATTCCTGCAGGTCTCTGTCCAGGGTAAACACAGTCACCACAACCACAGGTTGTTCAGCCAGCAGCAGAAGGAAGCCCTCTCCCGCCCCCTAGGACGATAGACCAGAGCCCCCAGGACGGTGTACCAGAGCCCCCAGGGCGGTGTACCAGAGCCCCCAGGACGGTGTACCAGAGCGCCCAGGGCGGTGTACCAGAGCCCCCCCCCCCCACGACGGTGTACCAGAGCCCCCAGGACGGTGTACCAGAGCCCCCAGGACGGTGCACCAGAGCCCCCAGGACGGTGTACCAGAGCCCCCAGGGCGGTGTACCAGAGCCCCCCCACGACGGTGTACCAGAGCCCCCAGGACGGTGTACCAGAGCCCCCAGGACGGTGTACCAGAGCCCCCAGGACGGTGCACCAGAGCCCCCAGGACGGTGTACCAGAGCCCCCAGGACGGTGCACCAGAGCCCCCAGGACGGTGTACCAGAGCCCCCAGGACGGTGTACCAGAGCCCCCTGTGTTGGATATTTCCAACACCGAATACAACATTGTTGTATTCTCATTACTTATTACTAACCATACTAATTATTGTAGTAAGTAAAATTAACAACACGTAGAATTCTCATGTACTAATAATTTCATCTGTACAGTAGGCTAGAATTCTCACGTCACCTGACGCCAGTATTGCGTCAGATTTCCTTACAGTAAACACATTATATCCAATGTGTGTGAGAATTAAATTCGATTCTCCATAATTAAAGCATTCTGTATGATAACTAATTGCAGACGAATTGATCTCTAACTAAAAGCCGAATAGAACGTTAGAATCATAGCGTCTATCTCGTGATAAAATTAACGTCACAAATGAATGCCATGGGGAGACATTAATTCCTCTCCCTTATATATTTACTATTCTTAAATTGGTAAATAACAATATTTTGTTCCTCTAAATAATAAACCCGTCCAGTCTTTAACGTTTCAAGCGCAAATGCGAGAAATATTAATGTTCGAGACAATAATTTGTTTTATGAACGCGGGCTCGGCGTGGGTAGAGGGACGCCATCTCAGTACACGTGGAGAGCTGATCAAGAGCAGACCTGCGCTTACCGTACTCATAAGAAGACGCTATTGCCCAGCAAATAGGGCAGGTGTTATCCATCCTCAGATGAAAGTCGCCACTGTGAGGCGTGAATAACCTTGCAGATAGTATCTTCAGCTGGTGCTGGTGTCAAATAAGGAGCCCTTTGACTTAGTTCCTGACGACACGTGACCAGCCAGCGGAACGCATCATTATTCAGGATAGGCTTAGCCGGAGCCTGAGATGCGAAGCACGGCAATCTTAATACTTACACAGTGCCCACAGCTAAGTAAATTCCTTTATGTGATGCATCAGGTAGAGGTTTTGATAGTAGCAGGGTGATTGTCCGTTATGACGCGCGATAACACCTAATAACAGGTGATTAAATTTGTCACCTGTAACTCTTAATATTCTTGAATATATTTAGTAGTTGGTTTAGTAGTTTAGTAGATTTAGTAGTTCAGTTGCTACTGAAAATTTATTTGTCTTGCAGCACGAGAGAAGAATTCTTCATACTGCCTTCCCCCATGTTAACCCGTTCCACTCGTCAGTCGACCGAGTCTGGAGAATAAGAGGACTTCTATGGTTTTCTAAAGGAATCTTCATTAAGCTAAGATTTATTTCCTTTTATAATTCTATTGCAATTTATTTTGTGCAGAATTCTTTGGGATTAATATGTGGTTTACTGTAACTCATTACTATGCTCATAATCTATGTTCCTCCCTTTGGTAATGATATCAGTTTCAATATTATTTTATAGGATTAGATTATTATTAATTGAATTAGTGAACGAACCACACTAATTCCTGGACGTACTTACCTCCAGTAATAACCCCCCAATGTAGGTGTTTGAGGTTTGTTTCATTTAATAATACAGCCCATTAATTATTATTATGATCATACTTTCTAGTTTTATCCATAGTTACTGGTTTCATCTAGGAATTATCTAATGATCAGAAATTCTCAGTTTCCCTCTTTACTTTAAAATCGGGTGGTCCTTCGTAATTTAATTTACTACATTAATATTTAAATAATCAGATTCAAGCCCCAAATATCCCACACCCTGGACGGTGTACCAGAGCCCCCAGGACAGTGCACCAGAGCCCCTAGGACGGTGCACCAGAGCCCCCAGGACGGTGTACCAGAGCCCCCAGGACGGTGTACCAGATCCCCCAGGACGGTGCACCAGAGCCCCCAGGACGGTGCACCAGAGCCCCCAGGAAGGTGTACCAGAGCCCCCAGGACGGTGTACCAGAGCCCCCAGGACGGTGCACCAGAGCCCCCAGGACGGTGCACAAGAGCCCCCAGGGCGGTGTACCAGAGCCCCCAGGACGGTGTACCAGAGCCCCCAGGGCGGTGTACCAGAGCCCCCAGGACGGTGCAACAGAGCCCCCAGGACGGTGCACCAGAGCCCCCAGGACGGTGTACCAGAGCCCCCAGGACGGTATACCAGATCCCCCAGGACGGTGCACCAGAGCCCCCTGGACAGTGTACCAGAGCCCCCAGGACGGTGCACCAGAGCCCCCAGGACGGTGCACCAGAGCCCCTGGACGGTGTACCAGAGCCCCCAGGACGTTGCACCAGAGCCCCCTGGACAGTGTACCAGAGCCCCCAGGACGGTGCACCAGAGCCCCCAGGAAGGTGTACCAGAGCCCCCAGGACGGTGTACCAGAGCCCCCAGGACGGTGTACCAGAGCCCCCAGGACGGTGCACCAGAGCCCCCAGGACGGTGCACAAGAGCCCCCAGGGCGGTGTACCAGAGCCCCCAGGACGGTGTACCAGAGCCCCCAGGGCGGTGCACCAGAGCCCCCTGGACGATGTACCAGAGCCCCCAGGACGGTGCACAAGAGCCCCCAGGGCGGTGTACCAGAGCCCCCAGGACGGTGCACCAGAGCCCCTAGGACGGTGCACCAGAGCCCCCTGGACGATGTACCAGAGCCCCCAGGACGGTGCACCAGAGCCCCTTGGACGGTGTACCAGAGCCCCTAGGACGGTGCACCAGAGCCCCCAAGACCGTGCACCAGAGCCCCCAGGACAGTGTACCAGAGTCCCTCACCAGAGCCCCCAGGACGGTGCACCAGAGCCCCCTGGACGGTGTACCAGAGCCCCCAGGACGGTGCACCAGAGCCCCTAGGACGGTGCACCAGAGCCCCCAGGACGGTGCACCAGAGCCCCCTGGACGGTGTACCAGAGCCCCCAGGACGGTGCACCAGAGCCCCCAGGACGGTGCACCAGAGCCCCCAGGACGGTGCAACAGAGCCCCCAGGACGGTGCAACAGAGCCCCCAGGACGGTGCACCAGAGCCCCCAGGACGGTGTACCAGAGCCCCCAGGACGGTATACCAGATCCCCCAGGACGGTGCACCAGAGTCCCCAGGACGGTGCACCAGAGCCCCCAGGACGGTGCGCCAGAGCCCCTCACCAGAGCCCCCTGGACGGTGTACCAGAGCCCCCAGGACGGTGCAGCCCCAGACGGTGTACCAGAGCCCCCAGGACGGTGTACCAGACCAGAGCCCCCAGGACGCTGTACCAGAGCCCCCAGGACGGTGCACCAGAGCCCCCAGGACGGTGTACCAGAGCCCCCAGGACGGTGTACCAGAGCCCCTCACCAGAGCCCCCAGGACGGTGCACCAGAGCCCCCAGGACGGTGCACCAGAGCCCCCAGGACGGTGCACCAGAGCCCCAGGACGGTGCACCAGAGCCCCCAGGACGGTGCACCAGAGCCCCCAGGACGGTGCACCAGAGCCCCCAGGACGGTGCACCAGAGCCCCCAGGACGGTGCACCAGAGCACCAGAGCCCCCAGGACGGTGCACCAGAGCCCCCAGGACGGTGACCAGAGCCACCAGAGCCACCAGAGCCCCCAGGACGGTGCACCAGAGCCCCCAGGACGGTGCACCAGAGCCCCCAGGACGGTGCACCAGAGCCCCCCCCAGAGGACGGTGTACCAGAGCCCCCAGGACGGTGCACCAGAGCCCCCAGGACGGTGTACCAGAGCCCCCAGGACGGTGCACCAGAGCCCCCAGGACGGTGCACCAGAGCCCCCAGGACGGTGCACCAGAGCCCCCAGGACGGTGCACCAGAGCCCCCAGGACGGTGCACCAGAGCCCCCAGGACGGTGTACCAGAGCCCCCAGGACGGTGCACCAGAGCCCCTCACCAGAGCCCCCAGGACGGTGTACCAGAGCACCAGACCAGAGCCCCCAGGACGGTGCACCAGAGCCCCCAGGACGGTGCACCAGAGCCCCCAGGACGGTGCACCAGAGCCCCCAGGACGGTGCACCAGAGCCCCCAGGACGGTGTACCAGAGCCCCCAGGACGGTGCACCAGAGCCCCCAGGACTGTGCAGACCAGAGCCCCCAGGACGGTGCACCAGAGCCCCCAGGACTGTGCACCAGAGCCCCCAGGACGGTGCACCAGAGCCCCCAGGACTGTGCACAATGCAGAGCCCCCAGGACTGTGCACCAGAGCCCCCAGGACAGTGAACCAGAGCCCCCAGGACGGTGCACCAGAGCCCCCAGGACTGTGCACCAGAGCCCCCAGGACTGTGCACCAGAGCCCCCAGGACTGTGCACCAGAGCCCCCAGGACTGTGCACCAGAGCCCCCAGGACTGTGCACCAGAGCCCCCAGGACTGTGCACCAGAGCAGGACCACCAGAGCACCAGAGCCCCAGGACTGTGCACCCCCCAGGACTGTGCACCAGAGCCCCCAGGACTGTGCACCAGAGCAGAGCCCCCAGGACTGTGCACCAGAGCCCCCAGGACGGTGCACCAGAGCCCCCAGGACTGTGCACCAGAGCCCCCAGGACTGTGCACCAGAGCCCCCAGGACTGTGCACCAGAGCCCCCAGGACTGTGCACCAGAGCCCCCAGGACGGTGCACCAGAGCCCCCAGGACGGTGCACCAGAGCCAACAGGACTGTGCACCAGAGCCCCCAGGACGGTGCACCAGAGCCAACAGGACTGTGCACCAGACCAGGACTGTGCACCAGAGCCCCCATGACTGTGCACCAGAGCCCCCAGGACGGTGCACCAGAGCCCCCAGGACTGTGCACCAGAGCCCCCAGGACTGTGCACCAGAGCCCCTCACCACGTCAAGTGAGCACCAATGAGCCCAGTCCTACTTAACCAGACCACAATAACGTTCCACTTTGAGAAGCGAAGTTTATTACAATAATATTTTTCTCATTTTGTAAACATACTCACCAAAACTATATTACTTCATTGTGTGTTGTATTTTCGTCTCGTGTTCCTATCGTCTATTACCACAAGTGTGTCTCACCTTCTCGGGCTCGTCAGCGAGGTCGAAGTCGAGGTGGACGAGGCCGGCGGTGTTGTCGACGTTCTTCCACTGGGCGACGCGGGTGCCGGCCGGCGTCTGCACCCAGACCTCCGGGTACTGCCGGGGACACCAACACATTACTTGTCAGACCTCATGCAGTGGTCAAACATTTAGCCCTTCACTCACTACTTAATAAAATTATGAGTGATACTGGTTAAAATGGATTGAGATTCTCTCTCTCTCTCTCTCTCTCTCTCTCTCTCTCTCTCTCTCTCTCTCTCTCTCTCTCTCTCTCTCTCTCTCTCTCTCTCTCTCTCTCTCTCTCTCTCTCTCTCTCTCTCTCTCCAGACCACGGAAGAAGAATTGAAACAGGAATTTCCTTAAGTACTTTCGTATTAATACATCTTCAGAAGGAGTGATTTACAGGTCAAGAAGTGGACATATATAGGCAGGAGAGAGTGGTGGAGTGAGGTGAGGTACAATGACAAATGAATGAGAATTAGGTGGACACAAATATGAGCCGCATAAGAACTGCAGAAGGCCTATTGGCCCATACGAGGCATCTCCTATTCATACCCACCAATAGGCCCACACATGGATAATAATAGCATAAGATAGTAAATATTTACAATGAATTAGTGAGACAAATGAGTATCAATGATCCTACTCAAATCGCCCTCTAATTGATCTATCAAAAATGGATCTAAGTTATATAAACCACTGCTAATGTTCAAATTACTTTCTTTTGTAATCTGTGTCAGAGCAGATTCAATTATGTTCCTGTTATAAGTGCTTTTACAATTCATTATTGAAGAAGCCATCTCCCAATCAATTTGGTGAGCATCTGCTGACAGATGAACAAACAAAGCATTAGACAATAGGCAGTGTCTTACAGAGTATTTATATTGCGAAATTCTACATTTCAAATTTTTAGATGTTTGCCCAACATAGAATTTATTAGTCTTTACAATGTATTATATATATGACACAATTATCACTACGAGGACTGTTTCTAACTTATAGCTTACCAACAGTATTTTCGTAGCTAAACAATACATGTATATCAAAACGTTTCAAGGCCTTGACAATATTCTCAAACACAGAGAAATATGGTAAACATAACACATTCTTTGGGCGAATATTTTTTCTGCATATATTATTATAATATGTACGACGTGCTTTGCTACGGCAAACTTCCAAAAAACTCAGTTGGTAACAAAGCTTGAGACCAATCGAATCAATATTCTTAAACTCTTCATCTAAGAATTCTGGACTCACAACTCGAAGAGCTCTTAGATACATTGAAGAAAAAATAGATTTTTTTCACATTGTATCTATGCCTTGAAAAATAATGAACATAAGATAAATTATTCGTAGGTTTTCTGTAGATACTAAACTTTAGTGAAAAATTTTCCCTGTGAATAAGTACATCTAGGAATGGCAAACATTTATCAATTTCAGTCTCCACAGTAAATTTTATAGCGGTGACTTGATCATTAAAGTTTGGCTACAAATTCGTCTGTGTTTACATCTGTAGGCCATATACACAAAATATCATCAACATATCTAAACCATGGAATGATTCCAGGGGTAATTTTTGAGACAAATTTCTTTTCGAAGAATTCCATGTACAAGTTTGAAAGCAATGGCGATAAATGATTCCCCATTGCCATTCCAAAAGTCTGTAAATAATTCTCATTATTAAAGGTAAATGTACATTCTTTAATGCACAACTTAACAAGATTGACAATAATATCAGCAGAAAGAGGTAAAATATGATTCATTAGTTCACGAGCAAGATAATCAAGAATATCATCAACCGGTACCTTTGTAAACAAAGAACAAACGTCAAAACTGATTAACTTTACATCAGGAGTGACAGGAATACTATTAAATTTGTTAACTAATTCAAGAGAATTAGTCAAATGAGAAGAGGAAATAGTTCCTAACAATGGGGACAAGATTTTGGTGAGCCATTTAGAAAGCTTGTAAGAAATGGATCCCACGGAACTGGGCAGTAGAGACGTTGAGGTAATTCACCGGGTCAGTAGAGACGTTGAGGTAACTCACCGGGTCAGCAGAGACGCTGAGGTAACTCACCGGGTTAGTAGAGACGCTGAGGTAACTCACCGGGTCAGTAGGGACGCTGAGGTAACTCACCGGGTCAGCAGAGACGCTGAGGTAACTCACCGGGTCAGTATAGAAATTGAGGTAACTCACTGGGTCAGTAGAGACGTAGTGGTAACTCACCGGGTCAGTAGAGACGTTGAGGTAACTCCCCAGGTCAGTAGAGAGGTTGAGGTAACTCACCGGGTCAGTAGAGACGCTGAGGTAACTCACCGGTTCAGTAGAGCCGCTGAGGTAACTCACCGGGTTAGTAGAGACGCTGAGGTAACTCACCGGGTTAGTACAGACGCTGAGGTAACTCACCGGGTTAGTAGAGACGCTGAGGTAACTCACCGGGTCAGTAGAGACGCTGAGGTAACTCAACAGGTCAGTATAGAGATTGAGGTAACTCACCGGGTCAGCAGAGACGCTGAGGTAACTCACCGGGTTAGTAGAGACGCTGAGGTAACTCACCGGGTCAGGTAGAGACGCTGAGGTAACTCACCGGGTCAGGTAGAGACGCTGAGGTAACTCACCGGGTTAGTAGAGACGCTGAGGTAACTCACCGGGTCAGTAGAGACACTGAGGTAACTCACCAGGTCAGTAGAGACGCTGAGGTAACTCACCGGGTCAGTAGGGACGCTGAGGTAGCTCACCGGGTCAGGTAGAGACGCTGAGGTAACTCACCGGGTCAGTAGGGACGCTGAGGTAGCTCACCAGGTCAGGTAGAGAGGTTGAGGTAACTCACCGGGTCAGTAGAGACGCTGAGGTAAACGGGTCACGCTGAGGTCAGTAGAGACGCTGAGGTAACTCACCGGGTCAGTAGAGACGCTGAGGTAACTCACCGGGTCAGTAGAGACGCTGAGGTAACTCACCGGGTCAGTAGAGACGCTGAGGTCACCGGGTCAGTAGAGACGCTGAGGTAACTCACCGGGTCAGTAGAGACGCTGAGGTAACTCGGGTCAGTAGAGACGCTGAGGTCACCGGGTCAGTAGAGACGCTGAGGTAACTCACCGGGTCAGTAGAGACGCTGAGGTAACTCACCGGGTCAGTAGAGACGCTGAGGTAACTCACCGGGTCAGTAGAGACGCTGAGGTAACTCACCGGGTCAGTAGAGACGCTGAGGTAACTCACCGGGTCAGTAGAGACGCTGAGGTAACTCACCGGGTCAGTAGAGACGCTGAGGTAACTCACCGGGTCAGTAGAGACGCTGAAGTAACTCACCGGGTCAGTAGAGACGCTGAGGTAACTCACCGGGTCAGTAGAGACGCTGAGGTAACTCACCTGGCCAGTAGAGACGCTGGGGTAACTCACCGGGTCAGTAGAGACTCTGAGGTAACTCACCGGGTCAGTAGAGATGCTGAGATAACTCACCGGGTCAGTAGAGACGCTGAGGTAACTCACCGGGTCAGTAGAGACGCTGAGGTAACTCACCGGGTCAGTAGAGACGCTGAGGTAACTCACCGGGTCAGTAGAGACGCTGAGGTAAGGTCCGGTGAGAGTGAGGATCCTGAACTTGACATTCTGGCTGGGCTCGTACAGGTACTTGTCCGTCTGGACGAAGGTGATGTCGCTGGTGCTCTTGAGGGTGAGAGAAACGGTGCGGGTGAGCTTGGCGCCGCCCACCACGCCCGCCACGTGTAGTGAGTGGGTGTACACCGAGGAACTCGGCACCGACACGTCGTAGCACGAACCTGTCCTTCCTGGAACACGGAACAGTAACTCTAGTTGTTATATATATATATATATATATATATATATATATATATATATATATATATATATATATATATATATATATATATATATATATATATATATATATATATATATATATATATATATATATATATATATATATATATATATATATATATATATATATATATATATATATATATATATATATATATATATATATATTTATTATGATGTTTAAAGTTTGTATTCTTGATATGGGAATAATGCGTATATAACATTTAATCAACAACAGGGTGTCGATTTGTGGAACCAAGAGTGGCCACTAGACGCCTCGTCACGAGGACATGTTTGTCAACTTAAAAATGTGACTTTGGTGATTGTTTCCACTTTCCTCGTGGTGTACTAACCTGCTGGAATGTCTAGAGTGGTCTGGGGAATGATGTTAATGTTCCGCTTCTCAGGCAGCTGCTGGTAGTCGTAGGCGGTGACTGCTACCGTCAGTTTCCCAGCTGGAGCTGACGGGTCGTCCACGACCACACACAGCTGGGCGGTTGTTCCTGCCACCCACTGCTTGGGCGTGGTGACCACGTAGCCTCTGTGGGGGGCACGGCGAGCTGTTAGTTCTTGCCTATCTCCACCATAATGAACACCAACTCAAACAGAAGCAAGTTTGTGTAGGTTGTGTATCAATTCATATAAATTAATACAAGCATGCCTAATGCCAAGCAATAATTATTTATTGACATTAATTAATGCCAATCATTAATTATCATATATAAAAAATAATTCTAGCCAGATGTAGAGACAAGTGTAATCTTGGTACTAGGAAAGGGACTCCAGTATTGACTTATAATCCGGGAGAATATCTGTGAAGAATAACAATGGTCACTTCTTAATATCCTGCCAATTTAAACTAAACTGTGTTCGCCCTATAGTTTACTCTCAACCTCCGTCGTTCACACCAACTACTAAACATCTGCCACAACGGTCAGTGTGTCCTCATGACGCACATATTGTCTCATCAACACCTGTTTAATCCCACCTTTCTCAAAATAATATTGAAAACTATAAATATTTGAAGTTAATTTAAAACTCTCTTTAATCAACCAACATTATACAGGACTCTTGACCTGTCGTTATGTGGTATTTATGTTCTTTTATTCTCCCATGGAGATGTTTGTCAGTTTGTCCCACAAACAATTTATTGCAAGTTTTATAAAGGATTTTCTAAGCATCAATTATACGTATTAAATGTTTTATTTATCAAATTAAATTTCCTAAATGCTATATTCATAAACATTTATTTAGACATTTCATTAACATTTTCATGAAATGCTAGAATTAATATTTATTACTTTGTAATCTCTATCAAACTTAAGGCATTTTCTGAAACTTTTCAATTTTTACTATTTAATAAAATACTTTGCTATTTAAATAAAATATTTAGAGTATTTTAAGGTGAATTCGTTTGTGAGAAGATGTAATTGGTTGTCCAATATTACGCTGATGGGATTGGTTCAGACGTGACTCATATTTTCTCAGGAGAGAAAAATCTTAGACAGTAACAATGTTGTGTTGATATAAGCTCGGATTGGACTTAGACAAAACAATCTTGTATCATTGCTGGTGACAACAACAATGTGATTACTGAAATTCAGTCAAGTTCCCTTGTCCCTGATGTCCCCTGCATACAGCTATGGTACCTGCAGTACTGCTTGACACCTTGTCGTCCCCTGCATACTGCTATGGTACCTACAGTACTGCTTGACACCTTGTCGTCCCCTGCATACTGCTATGATACCTGCAGTATTGCTTGACACCTTGTCCCTGGTACCATGGCAGGTACTACTATGGTAACTGCTGTCCTCCACAGCACCGCTACCTTTCTGAGAATCTTGTCTGCTCTTTACTAATATGTAGGATTGCCAGAGAGACAACGTTTAAATTCCTCTGTATAAATTTAAGTAGAGAATCTTTAATCTTATAGTTTTTGATATCTCTGAGATGTTCCGATAGATATGATAGCGCTTGGCACAGCCATGATGTCAGGGGGAAGTCATGATACATTCGAAACACGTAAATAAGAGGACCAATGGAAGGAGACCCGGAACGTGCCGGGTCACCTAGTCTGCTTCCTGATTGGTCAACACTCAGGACTCACTGCTCAGACAGTTACAGTCTTTGAGCGAACTGAGGTCCGTGAGATGACTCAAATCTGAGGGTTAGAGAAGCGGCAGTCTTCGCGAGAGAGGAGTACCCGACAACCCTGAAGCACAGGTCTGGCTCACACCTACAGCCATTCTGTGTCCACACAGGTAGTCAAGGTCAGCTGACTCTTGACGGGTGAATGGTGACCGCTGACTGCAAAAATAGTGCCCAAACTGGTAGTCAAATACAGCTGAATGATATTCATTTCACTCATTCTACTCGGATTTTCAAACCGAGTAAAGCTTGACTTACTTCAAATATACTCGGTCAGCCAATAACTACCAGCGAAGAGGGAGACAGGAACGGTGTGTGTGTTGGGGGGAGACAGGAACGGTGTGTGGGGGGGAGACAGGAACGGTGTGGGGGGAGACAGAAACGGTGTGTGGGGGAAAAGACAGGAACGGTGTGTGTGAGGGAGACAGGAACGGTGTGTGGAGAGACAGGAACGGTGTGTGGGGAGAGACAGGAAGGGTGTGTGGAGGGAGACAGGAACGGTGTGTGTGGGGGAGAGAGAGGAACGGTGTGTGGGGAGAGACAGGAACGGTGTGTGTGGAGAGACAGGAACGGTGGGTGTGGGGGAGAGTCAGGAACGGTGTGTTGAGGGAGAGACAGGAACGGTGTGTGGAGAGGAGACAGGAACGGTGTGTGGGGGAGACAGGAATGGTGTGTGGGGGGAGAGACAGGAACGGTGTGTAGGGGAGACAAAAACGGTGTGTGGGGGACACGAACGGTGTGTGGGGGAGAGACAGGAAAGGTGTGTGGTGGGGCAAGATAGGAACGGTGTGGTGGGGGGAGACAGGAACGGTGTGTGGGGGAGACAGAAAGGGTGTGTGTGTGGGGGGGGGAGACAGGAACGGTGTGTGGGGGAGACAAGAACGGTGTGTGGGGAGACAGGAACGGTGTGGGGTGGGGAAAGACAGGAACAGTGTGTGTGAGAGAGACAGGAACGGTGTATGTGGGAGACAGGAACGGTGTATGTGGGGGAGACAGGAACCGTGTGTGGAGGAGACAGGAACGGTGTGTGGGGGAGACAGGAACGGTGTGTGGGGGGAAGAGACAGGAACGGTGTGTGGGGGAGAGAGGAACAGTGTGGGTGGAAGAGACAGGAACGGTGTGTGGTGGGGAAAGACAGGAACGGTGTGTGTGGGAGAGACAGGAACGGTGTGTGGGGAGGGAGACAGGAACGGTGTATGTGGGGGAGACAGGAACTGTGTGGGTGGGAGAGACAGGAACGGTGTGTGGTGGGGAACGACAGGAACGGTGTGTGTGTGGGAGACAGGAACGGTGTGTGGTGGGGAAAGACAGGAACGGTGTATGTGGGAGAGACAGGAACGGTGTGTGGGGGAGACAGGAACGGTGTATGTGGGGGAGACAAAAACGGTGTTGGGGGAGACAGGAACGGTGTGTAGGGGAGACAGGAACGGTGTGATGGGGAAGAGACAGGAACGGTGTATGGGCGGAGAAAAGAACGGTGTCTGGGGGAGACAGGAACGGTGTGTGGGGGAGACAGAAATGGTGTGTGGGAGAGACAGGAACGGTGTGTGGGGGAGTCAGGAACGGTGTCTGGGTGAGACAGGAACGGTGTGTGGGTGTAAGAGTGCAAGTATTTTGCACTCTTTCATGTATAATTGTGAATTGTAATTGTGGGTGGGTGTGTGTATGTATGCGTATGTGCATGTTGGGGTTGTGCGAGATGGTATGAGGTGAGCTGTTGACTAGCTTCTATCCGCTGACATGGCATTACTTATCAAAGAGCCCGTTGTAGTGGCTTAGGAGAGTACGCACTCCTGGCTTGGCCAGCGAGGTGTGTTGAGCAGTGAGAGTGGAACCTTTGTAAGGGAGAGTACATCCAACCAGCTCCTCCATCCGGGTGGGAGATTAGCCATCATCCATCCCTGGGTGACCTTGTTAGTGAGGTAAGAGTGTCAGTAATGCATTGTTTTAATTGAGTGTAGTAGTGTTGACGAGCTGGTGGAGTCTGAACCATTTAGCCATGTATGGTGTGGGCGTGTATGGAGAGGGTGATCCCCCCCACCTTTTAATTTGGTTAATATTGTATTAAATAATAGAATGTCAAAGTGTTAAATATCAATTGATGGAAATTGAAAAAAATTGTTAATAAATTTCTATGTGTAGAAGAACAAGCTTGGCTTTTGTTTAGTCCTCTTTTTGTGTAATAACCCATATCCATTGTAATAACCCACTGACCTCTATGATCGTCTCTCGTGATCGTAATCGTTCGCTATCCCTGTTGTAATTCTCTTTCTCTCTTCACTCAATACCCCAGCTTAACACTGTTACAGTCCAGTATGACCCCTCACTGAACTGCCACATATATCAGAGGAATATTAAATGAGGAAGATACATCAAGGACAAGGGGTATAAATTTAAAAAAAAAAATATAAAAATCATTAAACACTGCCACCACCTTCCCGACCAACCATATCTGAATGTGTCTATCACCGATCCCCCAGGAAGGCAAGGAATCAGTAATCATGGGACTCCCGGGTAATATGAATTTCAGTAATAAGTTTTGGGAAATTAGTTTGTTTAATTTACGTTACTTATTTAAATCCAAGGACAACTTTAGTATCTATTAACTGTAGGAGAACATGGAAGTTTCCAATTCAACACATAAAAATGACAGAGTAGAGAAATATATCACAGGGGAGTTAAGTGAATACCACTGGACAAGTTATACGATTTATTTTATGAAACATGTAAATTAAAACAATTTGAGCATATACCCTATTCTATTCTATTAACCTAGAGGCACAATGGATATCTACTGAGGACATGAGATTAAAGTGCACAATACCTTAATATCGCACTGAGGCCACGATGTTGATGGCTGCCCTCAGCCCCTAGGATGCGGGCTTGCGGCCCCTTTTATTCCACACACTCCCGAGACACACTAATCAAATTTTATTTTACCAGCTTATTGCTGGGAAGGATTACTCCTCCCACCATCTAATACAGCCCCAGGGCTCCACCCATTATTTTGGCAAAGGTCAACCATTTAACACTTAGGCCTGAGGTCTGGCTCTCTAGGGCCAATAAGGACTTGGCCCTTATCTCCCGCCAATCACCTTCCCTGATCTGCCGTGGAAGAATACATGAATTCCTGAAGATTTAGTCAGCTCTCCCCAGCTATTAGAAAGGAAACAAGGCGCCTCTGTGGAGCCCAGTGCACCTGCGAGCAATGTTTACCAATTGATAAATTATGTTCAAGCCTGTCTTCTCCAAGATAAAGGGTAGGGACATTTGACTCGCCTGGTATGGGGAAGGGAACGGTGAGAAGGGAAAGAGAGGGACTTGAGAGGGGGATGGAAAGGGGAAATCTGAGTGGGGGAAGTTGAGTTGGGGAAGCCAAAGGTATCACGAGGCAAGACCACCCTCAGGTCAACCTCTTTGTCCTTGACAAATGGGCGACAGGGGGGGGGGT